CAGGATGTTCTCTGCACAAGGTATTTTCATCATTAAAATGTTAATATTTCAGTGAAATTTTATATTAGTAAGAGACTGCTTGAGTGGCTGGAGTTATTCTCAATTCTTTGGTTCAAGAGGCACCATATTACAGTATTACTCAATCACGTCCTCGAGTAAGGGTGGTTTTTTTTCCTCCCTTCTCCCCCTGCTTGTTCACATTTCACTGTTCTGGCGTAACATTCATCAAATTATTCTGGTGCTCGGTTTCTTCTTAATCATGTCTTCCAATCTGCTCTGGTGGATTTCGTACAAGAACTTGCAACTTGGTTGCAGTTACATCGGGTCATTGTTAATCCTGTTGTATACCGCGTTGCAGTCGGGATTGTCCAATTTTTTATCGACGAAAAAAGGCACAGAAAGATATGGCTGAAGCAAAGTTGCAATTGGACCGATGGAACTTCTAAGATTCTGTCAAGGTCAGTTTTTTCTCAATCCTCTTCACTCATTAATATATCCGACAATTGCAATACAGACGATTGGAACATTATATTTTTACATATCAGGAACAGTTATCAAATATTTATTATATAAAATATAAGAATCTAACTTGGGTTATGAATTTTTTAAGTCAATTGAATTTTTCATATGAAATTTCTGTTAAGACTATACTTTTTGGATATTTACATGTAAATGCATGTGGGCCTATGCATATGTCCTAAGTTATGGACCCTCTCTCTCTCTCTCTATATATATATATATATATATGAAAAATATTTTCTCATGAGAGTTATGTTCTTTTACTGGTGACCCTTCGATTTTTGTGTAATATTTTCTTTTATTTTTTATTTTTTTAATAAATGTGGGTCTTACATAAGATGTGTCTACAGCATGAGAAAATTTTCTCCTACCGCATGAGAAAATCGAAATCCATATATATATATATATATATATATATATATATATATTAAATTTCACCGTTACTATCAATCAATCTCACCGTTGCTACTTATATGGAGAAGGATATTGTAACAACCAAATTGTGTTACTATCATGTTACTACCAATTAATCTCACCGTTATATTAATTATGTTGGTCCAACGGTTATATTTATTTCCATCTTTGTATGGTTTTGATTTTTCATATTTAAAGTGAAAACATTAAATATGAGAAATTATAATCATACGAAGGTGAAAATAAATATAAAATATTAAATTTGAGAAATCATGACCATACAAAGATGAAAATAAATATAACCGTTGAATTAACATAATCGATCTAACGGTTAGATTGATTGGTTTTAACATAGTAATAACACAACTTGGTTGTTACAATATCTTTCTCTTTTATATATATATATATATATATATATATATATATATATATATATTTGTCATTTTAAAAAACATTAGCTTATATCATTTTAAGTGAAATTAATGTGGTTTATCATTTCTACTTTCGCAAGAGATAAAATTATACAGCAACCTCAAAATTATGTTGTTATTATTAGATAACATTAAATTAACGGTTTTTAGTTTATGTCATTTTCTTACCGATAACTTAATTTTAGTCCAATGGTAACAAAATAGTTGCCTCTCTATATTCCAATTCTGTGATTAATTGGTGTTCTTAAATAAATGTTGCAATTGTAGGCATCATTAAATTTGCTGTTTTTTGGGAACCAAAGGATAACCTCTGTGGAGATGGAATCCTACGACAAGCTCTTGTCGTATTCCTATTTGCTGGAAGCAAATTACATGGAGCAGAGGGCGGACATTTCTGCACAGTCTAGTTTAGATATGATTATCGTGTAGTGCCGAATGTGAACTTGAGGATTTCGGAACCAATAGAAGAAATCTCGTGTTGTCACAATTCTAACATGTACAATGTATCGCGCCACACACAATTGGGTAATCGAAATATTTTTTGAAATATAAGTGTGTTCTGAAAAGATTTATATTAAATTGGTTCTTCGGGCTATCAAAGTTAAAAATAATTAAAAATCATGTTTTAAATATCAAACTGACGATTCACAATATAATGTAGGGATGTCAGTGCGACTGGATTACTGAAATTTGCCAAGAAAGACGGTGATGACTAGTTTAAGGGTTTGTTTGGATGAACTTTTCCTTCTTTAAAAGTTACTTTTTTTTCAAGAAAAAAGTACTTCTTGTTTTTAGTTGGTTTGGATATTTGTTTTTTAAAAAAATAGAAGTCACAAAAAAAAAAATCAAAAATTTACTTTTTTTCAGAAGCTAAAAATTTTAACTTATAAGAAACGCAAAAGTCAAATATTTTTATAAAAATATAAAGGGTTATTTTAATCTCATGTTACATGAGACAAAATATCTTATGTTGTAGAGACATATGTGGTGGGATCCACTATTTACAAAAAAAGAAAAAGAAAAGAAATAAGAGTGTTATGATTTTCGATAGGTCTATAGGAGATAAACTACTCTTATGTTACATAAGAGTAGTTTTTTCCAAATATAAATAGCTTTAACTTTTATAAAAAGCACTTTTAAAATAAGGAAGAGATAAAAATTATTTTTTTGAAAAGCCCAAACAAATGGACTCAAACGATTAATGAGGTGAATTCTATCGAATTCGAGGAGTTAAATTAGTTTACTTAGTTTCGGTAATGCTTTGATATACGATTAAAATATTATTTTCACTCCTAACTAAAAGACAAGTGATTTTGCTAGTTAATTAATGGAACAATTTTTTTTTTTTTGAAAATATTTCGATCATTCATCGTTTCGCAATTAGTCTAATTTGAAGTGGGTTCAGAATTAATTTCTCGTAAAATTGATACAGAAGAGGAATGGAACAATATTTTAAGGACAGTCTGTAGGAAGAGCGTGTATAAATTAGGGTAATCATTTTTTAGCCCAGGTTAAATAGAAGAACTGACTAGTTATAAATGGAGGTTTCACGTTACTCTTCTTTAGTAGAGGGTGCTAATTTTTTTTTTTAATTTATAATTTAAAAAAGATACTTGGTTAAATATTGATCGCCATTTGTCCAAGGTACTCGTATCGTATGTACCATTGAAAAAAAAGTACCCGATGAATCTCCTTAAAAATATACCTCCCATTTACACAAGTTAAGGACTTTTTTTATTATTTTCCTATTATTTATTCACATATTATAGCAATGTTGTTAAATTCAGTGAGGTAATTGATTCAGGCAAGATACTAGTTCACTACCACTAGGGTTAGCCTAGTGGTGTGGAGTGTGTGTTAGGAGTGTGTGTAGTGTAGAGTGTTGTGTTCAATTCCTTGTAATCTCAAAAAAAAAAGATACTAGTTCACTGGTTGAATCATATAATTTGGCAAGTATATGTAAATTTATAATTTATATTAAAAAAACTATGAATATATTCAAATACTTATAAAAAATATATCAGTTTCTAATATTCTAATATGAAAAATAATAAATCACACATGTAGTAACTAGTAAGTATATTGCCGTCTATTTATGTCATCCATCTATTTATGTCATCTTTGTGCAAATATATTAGTTGACCTGGGCAAATATATGTAAATTTATATTTTATATTTAAAAGTCCATAAATATACCCAAATACATGTCAAAAATTATATGAGTTCCAAATATTCTAATATAAAAACAATAAATTACACAATATTGTCCAACAAACAAAGAAACATACAATTAGGGATGTTAATGGGCTGAGCTGAACCGGACTTTGGTCTTAAAAGGATAAACTTATATTTAAATGTGTCAGCATGACCAAGCCTGTTACCTGTTATGAATATAATTATAGCATGTGGCCTGACTTATTTACAAAAAATAAAAGTCTGGTTTAGCATGTTTAAAAGAAATAAGACAACAAAAATTTATTCAAATAGAATGTACAATCAACAATACTTGTAATTCCATGAATATTCATAAATTCAATGTATATCCAAACAACATAATATAGAACAAAATTATTCAAAAAGTCTGTTTAACCAATAAAATGGGTGAAATGGATTGAGGAGAGAGAGAGAGAGGCTATTACAAGTAGTATAAAAAAAATAAAATAAAAAAAATACTAGGCCAACCTAAGAGGCTCTAAGGCCGAGCTTTTAAATTAGAGTCTGATGCCTTTTTATTAAATGAACTTTTATACAAGTCCAATCTTGGTTCCAACAATCAATTTTGGACATGTAAACTCAGACCTTCACGAGCTGAGTCAAAGACCCTTGATTTATTTACCACCCCTACATACAATACTTGACCTGTCTTCAAATATTTAACATTTACTACAAGTGAAATCTAGATAAAAATTGTTATAAAAAAAAAAAAAAATCTAGATAAAATTTTGATGATTCATTAATTTATCTTTTTAATTATAATTTTATCTTATTTTATAGAAAAATGTTATACTTACAACCTATTTTCGTTTAACAATTTCTTATAACAATATCTTAGTTGTTGATTTCCGTCAATCAACGATTATTATTTTCGCAAATCAAAATTATTAGATTGGCGAAAATCAATGATTAAGATATGATTGTAAGAGATTGTAAACGAAAATAGGTTGTAAATATAACCTTCCTCTATTTTATAAGCTTCTTAAATTTAATAAAAAAAAGCCTGAAATGGTCTTCTTAAATTTATAAGCTTTTTATTGTTTTTTTTTATTGAACATGTATGAACCAATCGGGTCATTGGTTTTATCAGTTATACGATTGGTTTACTGGTTTTCTGATCGACATCGACTGGTCCGGATTTTTGAACACTGTTATCTAACTGTGAAGACAAATTTCGATTAATTTGGTAACGTTCTTGTGTTTTACACCAAAAAAATGGTCGCACGAAATCTTTCAAAACATTCAAATGGATTAGTAAATGGTTCTCAAATTTAAGGGAGGTAAATTATAGGATTTCAAAATTTGTGTACTGAAATTTACAGAAAAACTTTAAGTAGGGTGTAATTTACCTTAACAAATTTCTATACACTTAATGAGCATTTTGTTTAAGCACAATTTTATATCCAACATTTCTGTACATCTCATTCTTAAGCTGAAATTTTAAGAAATGGTATTATGGTTACCACTTTATCCATCATCAATGGCGGCAATACAGTGATAATATACATCAAATCAGCAACTAATTTTTTTGACTCAAGTGTATAACCTCAGGCGAGTTGTAATTTGCTGCCGGCATAGAGGGCATGAAGATAATGTCACGCCACAGTCCTTGCAAGTCTACATAAAAAAACAAAGGCAAATAAATACCACACATTTTTGCATGCAGGTTATACATGGACATGCATTTGTTCCTATTTGCATAGCAATTCTATATGATTCTGAAGATAGAACGTTTTTTTTTCTCCATTTGTTAATTTGTAATAACAAATTTATTCCATATTTGTTTTTCTATTTACGTGTCAATGAATTCTTTTCATTTTTCCTTTGAAAGTTCAAGATCCGTTAGAAAAAGGTCTTGATCTAAATAGCTTTCCGAAAACTTATGTTTGTCAGAATGCAACAATGTCATTTGGTCCATTAATCCACTCCACCTAGTACAAGGAGCATATTTTCGGTACTCAAAGAGTTGGTAATTTCTTTCCTGAAATGGAAAAAAAGAGGATATAGAAGGAAATAATCATAAAGACAGAGATGGTATAAATGTTACTTTTTTTCTGAAATGGTAAAAGATGTACCGAGTGCTCGGTACATCAGATGTACTAATATATTTTCCTAGTACAAGACATTGGAATAAGAAAATTGTAGCCTAAATTCCTTTTAAGGTTTAGTATTCACACAAACAGAGCTTATAAACTCCAGGGCACATTGACATAAGCATTAAACAGAAATAGGCTCATTAAACAGACTTACTGTGTGACCGCATCCAAAAGCCATGTCCTTCGGATTGGTTAGGCAAACGGGGCATACCTTGAACAAGTGAAAGACATTTGTCTCATAAGCTTAGTGATCTCAACATGAATCTAAAGCAGTAGAAAGAACCACGGAGGGGCAAGAAAACATACTGGTTCCGCACCAGCTGGAGCTGTTGGTTCAACTGGCTCGAAATTTGTCTTGCGTGGAATTTCTCTGAGTGCATTATCATGATCGATTACTTCCTTAGGTGGAGGGAGAGGCCTTTTATGTTGATAACGAACTGATTCTCTGCTGCATCAGAAGGATTTCACTCTCAGTTATCCTTGAATATAACATATAACTATCATACATTCATGTAGTTCTTGGCTTACTTGGTATGTTCATTAAGTTGTATATTTTGTGCTGCCCGATACTGAAATGGAATTTCCATTAGGGCAGCAAGTGCAAATGTTGTTTCCTTCTTTGATGCTTCTGTGTTCTCGGACATGATCTTTGTGAAGTTCACAAACTGAAGGAATAAAATGGCAAACAAAGTATATAATATATCAATTTCATCAATAAAAAAAAAGAAATGTTTTTAATAATACTTGAATTAAGAACGGTATTCTAAAATATGGAAACACTGAAAATTTCCCAGTCATTTTTTGAGATTAATCAGTCATTTACTCATTTTTCAAACCGATCACCACCCATTCTTACAGAACAACTAATAAAGTCTGGATGGAATTTTAAAATGTTGAATATGTGAAAGAAAAGGTTTATCTCAACTGTTAACCCAATGTCCACACTAGACATTGGGTAAACCTGTTTGACAGTCATTTACATTTATTAAATTTGAGATAGAAGAACTAAAGATCCTATCTGTCTCGACCAAGAGAACAGCTTCATAAATCATTTCCTTCTCTAATGTCTAATTAATTACAGACTTCTGATCTTGGTTTTGGAATTAGCTGATGTATGATGTACTATCACGTTTGTCATTAATATACCAAACTCCAGGCCTACTACTAATCTCCAACTATCAAAGGTTAAAGTTACCATAGAAGCAGACAATAACGAGTGTTCAAGTGCTATCAAGTACCTGAAAGTTGTCAAATAAGCGCTCAGTAATGTTATCATCAAATTGTTGCATTTCATCCCATGGCCCATCTCCAACTCCAACCAAAATAATTGAGAGAGGGTAGTGACTGAAAAATGACAATAAGAGTAACTCCACATAACAGACAGATTTCATAAACAACAGCACAAGACTACCAAAGAAATTGCTTTACCTTGCAGCAACAATAGAACTAATGGTTGCTTGTTCCTGTGGACTAAGCTTTCCTGTATCTGGATTTCTGGAAACCTTAAAAAAAAAAAAGACATTTTAGAAGAAGGAAAAAGACAATTGAATCATGCCATGAAAAGAAAAGAATTGAAAAATATAACAGAAAAAACCTGTCCATCAGCAATGATGACAAGAACATGATATTGACCATTGTTTCTTTCTACGATGTCAATTGCTGCATTGACTACAGGGGCAAATGATGTTGGACCTATAAGAAAGGAAGGAACAATTATAGATTGCCTGTATACATAAGCCCTCTCTCTGATAGGAAAGAAAAATCAAGAAAGAAAAGGAATAAAATGCCAGAGGATTCCTAAAGAAGAAAAGTTAAAGAGAAAACTGGGAGTGGGGAGGACAAAGAAGATGAACCAGCTTAATAAATGATAGGAACCTAGTACTGAATTAATGAGAACAGAATTACAGAACAGCAACAAAAATGGAGAACAATTCAGAAGACACGACTGTATTGATATCAATAACTAAATTACAATAGCATTGAGTCATTCCAGAGGACTCACTCTCCCTCAGCACCTCGCTGAATCCCAAAACTACTCAAATACTTGCATAACTATCCCATTTCTCCCTTCTAACACTTGTATCTACTTGATAACAGAATTTTCCTCCATTTCCCACGATCCTATTGCCAACTAGACATTCTGGAATATTCCTACGAAACTGACTCCCTCAATGTTATTCTACTGTTTGCGATTCTATTCTTCCCGGTGTAGACTCTTTTTACTAGAGGTGTATCAATAAGCAATCTAGTTGAAAACACTCTCAATACAACCTGTTCAAATTATAGTGATAGAGACCTCCTCTCAAATAAAGAAACAACAGCAAGGCAGAGAATTTGGCCTGGTGAAACCAAATTTTATATATTTATGGAGTCTGAGTATTACACTATATATGACAGTGAAACAGTACAGACATTACAAAGAAAGGAAAATCAACTAGTGAGCAGGAAAACGAAATACAAAGAGCAAAAATAGAAAATGATAGTGTAGAGCAATTAGAAGCGCTCTACTCTCTCCCAAGTCCCAAGTCCAAACAATTTCCAAGATGATTCCCTCAAACACTCATTCCCCCTCTTAAGCACTTTCCCCAAAACTAACTTGCTCTCCCACGCTTGCATTCTGTTGTAGGGCATTCAACAATATCACTTAGGCCAGCAGTACTAATATCTTCGTTTGGGCCAACTTCTGCATTTGGAGTGGGTCACCGTCTCTAGAACAAGATGGAGAAGGAAATAACTATGAAAGCTTGTATTAATAACAGAGTCTAAATGGAAATTCAGTATTACAACTCATCCGTAGGTGTGAGAATATGAACAGAAAACAAAGTGCAGAAAAAAGGAAAAGATAACCTAGAGGAATTGTAGTGCCTCTAGTCACTCCCAAACACACAATGGTGTCCCAAGTCCAGAATGGCCCAAAAGATGCTCCTCCACACTCCAAACAAAGCAATATATGTGCGCCTTCAGCATGCTTCCCACGTCTAACCGTTTTCCTTGCTATTCACAGCTGCACAAATATTCTCTTCTAATATGGCTGAGTCAACAATATCAGACTTTGAGTAGCTGATCCCCTAAATCGTTGTCTATTGTGCACCCTCATCTTAGAAAGGATTGTATCAATACTCCCCCCAAGACGATCACCTTATCCTCAGGGTGAGTACAAATAATGACAATGTTACGTTCGGAATCCCATTGCTTGAACTGTAAGGACCGCAATGCATGACAAATTCCACCAAGATCCCATTGCAAGGTAGTGTAGGCACTTACGACAATTGCTTGAGTATGCAAAAGTTCATTGTAACTCGTGAAGCCCTTATTGTCATCTCGGCTCACTAAAATTAAAATATAATCAAACAACTGGCCCCTTCTTTTCAATGGGAATGGTGTACCACTTCCATCAGCATTACATAGTAATTCAATTGCTGTGATATCAGCTTGTTTGGCGGTGGGGCGATGGCCAATTGTTTTGGCCTTAGTCACTGTTGATAGGGCCTGCATAGTATCATTTGCATACATTAGAGCCAAAACAATATATATCACACTAGACTTTTGTGTTCCGAAACTATCAGAGAACAATGACGATATCCTGGACAGAATTGCACATGAGTCTTGATTCTCTAATTCTGAATTAAGTCCATTAATAACATATTCTAAGAAAGGAGCTGAAAAACGAGACTCTCTCAATACAATCTGATCATATAATTTTTTTATGTTTAGTTTAGCCCAAAAATATATTTCCAGAATTTCCTGAGCAATAAACTTCTCATCCTCCTCACTTTGTCTCTCTGAAAGCACTACGCAATCTCCACTATGTTCCTTGTGCAACGGAAACTCCTACATGATTTTAACTATTTCTCTCGCATAGTCCAAAACACTGATTTGCTTCAATAGCTCCATCAACCAATCCCTATCTTGTTCAGGGTTCAATTCAAGTAGAAGACACTGATTTGAGCTAGCGTTGAAAACCCAAATTCTCAAGTTCTGCACCACCACACACAATTCCTCTACAATTTACTTTGTGAAATTAAATTCAGGGGGCTCATGCATGAAACCAGCTATAGTCCCTAACTTAAACGAGTCAACTGGGATCATGATGCAACCAAGACGATCAAAAGGCGAAGACACATGGCTGGAGCATTTCCATTTATTTGTGTTGTTACCAGCTTGCACCCTGTCGTCGCGAGTGTCTAATCGGAACATGACGCTAGCGACTGAATTTGTTTCACTTCGATCTTGGGTGGCTGCAACGATGTCATGGTCGAAGAAGGTTTGTGTACAGCAAAAGGGAAATCCTATCACTTTGATGAATTTCCAAGATGATTCCCTCAAACACTCATTCCTCCTTTTAAGCACTTTCCCACAACTAACTTGCTCTCCCACGCTTGCATTCTGTTGGAGGGCATTCAACAATATCACTTGGGCCAGCAGTACTAATATCTTCATTTGGGCCAACTTCTGCATTTGGAGTGCGTTCGTATCAATACTCCCCCCCCCAAGTTAAGCACCTTGTCCTCAAGGTGCAAGTGAGCCCACAAAAACCCTCCTCCTGGATCCCACTACCTCAATTGTAGGGATCCCCGTATGCAACAAACATGATAAATTGCACCGGGATCCCAATCCACTTCTGTTTTGGTTCCATCTTCACCTTTTGACTCTTGAAGAGCATTCAACACATTGATCTCACGGTTGAAATCAGAATTTGAATAAACCTATAAAATCCTATAATAAGCACTCTTTACTCTTTCAATAGTAAGGAAAATGATTCTCACAGAAAGATCCTTCAATTCTTTTCTAGCTTTCCAGCGACCCCATTTTGTAACAAACTCTTCACCCTCTGCCACGTTGACATGTGAATTTCTCCTTGAAGGATCAATAGCTTTTCGAACATAATCAAATATTGGGAACAGGGCAAGCTGATGTTCTCTTTCCCACAAAGATAATGAAAAGAGATGATCATGGTTGCATAAGATTTCAACCTGGTCTTCCACGTTCTTCCTAATCTCAGGTTTTGAGTCAAAGATATGCTTTGATAGTCCTGCCCATAAAGGAAACAAGAAATAGACATGATTGTCCTTATCAGTTCCCTCTTCATTAGCCTTACCATCAGCCGCTGTTGTGACTCCCATGAGTCCCATGAATGTGCTCTTCCATTCTGATTTGGCATCGTTGACATCCAAAAATTTCGTTGACAAAACACGCAAGGCCCGTATAAAATCAGCATGCTTTCTGCTGCCTACATTACGTCTATGCAACCGAAACTCCTCCATGATTCCACCTCTTTTTTCCACATAATCTGAAACTTTGAGTTGTTGCAATGGCTCCCTCACAATTTTCTCTCTTCTTCAGAGTTCAAAACTCCAAGATGAGTTGTACCCGAGCTCACTATTCCTCCACCGTACTCTGTATAATTGTCATCAAGCCGCTCATGCTTGAAGTCTGTTTTGATGCCGAACCCAAATGATCGAACCGGAATATCGTTGCAAGCGAACCAAACAGAAGACGGAAAAGGCGAAGGCAAGTGGACGTGGTTGGGACATTTTTGTTGATTAGTGTTGTTGTCAGGTTGCACACTTTGGTCGTAACCGTTTGGTAGGAGTATGATGTCGGCGACTGTGCTTCTCTCCCTTCGGTCTTTAATGACTAAAATTGTGCTCTGGTTGTTCGAATCTGAGGCACCGTCAAATGAAAGTTCTTGCACGTTGACAGGGGATAAAGAGGGATATGGTTTTCTGGCCCATTTAGTTTGGGCCTAAATGTGGGTATGCAAGCCTGTTCTTTACACTTGAAGAAATTAACACTGGATTGGGCCTAGGGCATTTGAGGAGTATTAATACTATGAACTAATTTCTCTAGTCCTCTCCTTATCATAGAGTTCTTATCGGAGGAACTTATTTGCGCTTCTGGCCACCGTTCCCACTCATAACTGCACCGCAAAAGTCTGACCTCCTTATGTAAGTTCGTGTCCGGTGGCTCTAGTAACAATAATGATGTGGTTGGACTTATAGAGTGTTCCTTTCTTGCAATTAATTCGTTGCTTTCCCTCTCTTCTTTTAGATTTTTTGCTTCTGCATCATTCTCCATCTTCTTAGATCTGAAAGCTTCGTTATCTACCTCCTTCGACTTTCATGGTAGCTGTGCCTCCTTCACCGAAGAGTCTTCCATGAGCGCTAAAAATCGTTGACTTATATCAAATCGGAACCGCGACCACGTAACCTCTTTTCTTCGAAGCTTCCACCATAGATACTGGTACCAAGCTTCTCCCCTTAAAGCTCTTCTCACTTCTGATAGCCACACAATTTCTGGTTTACCATTTTTGCGAAAATACCACTCTATCCAATTTAACCATTTATATACATCACCAAAAAATACTGGGATCTTCATTCTATGAAATTGATTCTCCATTTTTTTTTATGATCGGTATCATTCAAAGCACCCTTAGATCGGAGAGCTTTGATACCAATTGATAAAGACCTCCTCTCAAATAAAGAAACAACAGCAAGGAACATAGAATTTGGCTTGGTGAAACCAGATTTTATATGTTTATGGAGTCTGAGTATTAGTCTGAGTATTACATTATATAGGACAGTGAAACAGTATAGACATTACAAAGAAAGGAAAATCAACTAGTGATCATGAAAACGAAATACAAAGATGCAAAACAGAAAATGATAGTGTAGAATAATTAGAGAGGCTCTACTCTCTCCTAAGTCCCAAGTCCAAACAATTTCCAAGATTATTCCCTCAAACACTCATTCCCCCTATTAAGCACTTTCCCCATATCTAACTTGCTCTCCTATGCTTGCATTCTCTTGGAGGGCATTCAACAATATCACTTGGGCCAACAGTACTAATATCTTCATTTGGGCCAACTTCTGCACTTGGGTGGGTTCGTATCATATAGCAATTTTATATAGAGAAGGAGAAAAGGATAGAGAACAAACTCTAAATAATAAAGGGTAAACCCCGGTGTACAAGACTTCTCAATTTGCGAGAGTACGAATAAAGGTCGACTACACGTACTCTCAGCCTTGCATTTTTACAAAAGACCGTTTTTCAGACTTGAATCCATGACCTTCTGGTCACAATAAACAACCTTACCATTGCTCTAAGGCTAGCCCTCAACAAACTCTAAATAATAGAATATAATATTGGTATATGGTGTATATTGATGTATTACAAAATGCAATGCACTAAACCCCATTTATAATATTAGACTTCTAATCTTTATTATAAGGAAACAAATGATATATAATGAAATATGAATACCACTCATAAGAGATCATCTAAAATACTCTAAAATATTTTAACTTCAAATAATGGTATCATGAGATATTTCCTAAAAATTCTAACCCAAATAATGAGCTAAACCCCACACAGAGGATACAAAATAAGCCTACCCCACAAAAGATGAGTAGGAAGAGATCTCCAGCTAAAGATTTTGGAATTGCTATCCAGCCAAATGCACCACACTCAAGCTGAAAGAGCACTATTCGACCTTACTTTCATTTCAGTCCTTTGTACTCCACAAATCATCATACTGGATCGAAATGAAGACTAACAAATAAGGTGCACAGATTCAATGTTCTCTAGACAACAGAAAATGCTTACTTTATAACTTGTTACTTCACAAGTCAAGAGATGGTTATTTATTTTTTTATTTATTTTTCAAATCTTGAGCATATAATGCAAATATCAGGAGAAAAGGCCTTTTAAAGCCCATGGACTGTAAAAGTCAATAATGTTAATCCTATTATGTACCACCTCCAAACAAAAACCTTAACCTTAGAAGGAGCCTTGACAAACCCCGGAATTTTTTTTTTTCAAAGCTGCCTTTCAAGGAGAAGGTTTACACAATAAGAAATTGGAAAAAGGTTCTAAGGTAATAAATCCTGAATTGTCGGCAGTCAAAGAGCTCTTCCAGTTTATGTTAACCAAAGATAAAGTACAGAATTAGCATAACATCAAACAGGTCTAGAATCAGTATCTCAGCCTCATGTTAACAAGGATTAGGTCCCAACAGACCTTAGGTTCATAGGCATTTAAAATCTTAAACTCATGATATGGTTAGCCAAATGTGCCAAATCATACTACAACTCTCTCTGTCCCTCTCTCTAAAATAACCATGGTAAGCTTATTTGTATAATAAAGTCAAATATATTTGAGACAGATACTTTTAATAAATTTTTAAAATCTAGCCAGCAAGGAAGAACATGTTGTAGAACAAACCTGACAGTTTTAAGTGTGGAACAATCTCTCTGTAGCGTGCAAGTACTTCCTCGAAGCCATGACAGTCTCTATTATCATGATAAAAACTGAACACGTTCTCATCATGTGTAGAAGCTACAAAAGTAAAATTCACTGAAATCAACAGAAGAGGAAACACATAACATTTCTCTAAAGTCAGAAACAACTACTCACCATCACCAAATCCAAAACATGGTATCAGATTATCTTCATCAAAAGAAGACAGAGTACGGCCAATGATGGAAATTGCTTGCTCATACGGATTAGGAGTGTTTCCGATATAATGAAGGCTTTTCCGATGGAACGAGTGCTTACCTTAAAAAATTATCAAGGTGTGACTTGTCTACGTTTATATACATATATGCACATACAACATTAATCTCACATTTAAAAGGAATAACCTGTCCACTCATTGCTTTTTGTGAAGTCAATACCAAGTATTAAATTCGAAGATTCCAGACCAGCTTCTCTCAAAGCAGAAATAACCTGAAATAAAAGTGTCATATATCTTCTATAAGCATGAAGTTTCTACGACTAGTTACGTCTAACAAGCTATAGCTAAGATTTTCAAAACATCTGCACCCACTTCACCAATAGTGACTACCCTTGTACTGCTAAGATTAAAATTGCTTGTCTTGTCCAAATTACTGAGCAAAAGTAACAATGAAAACCTGATCCAGTGAGCTGAAATTGTCAGCTATATATGTGGGTTGCTGCTTATGTTGATAGCGAGTATTCGCTGAACTCCCAGAATAAGAAGAGGATTGATGATAACTATGATTCACAGAACTCCCAGCATAATAAGAGGGTTGTGGGTAAAAATCATCTTGAGATTCATCCACTGACTCCGCATTTCCCATAATTACAGGCCTGCTTTCAACTACATCAAAATAAATAAACAGACAACAGAGGTTAAAAGACAACATTGAAGTGAACTAAAACAAAACCTACAGAACCAGAAGTGACAACAGTTCATTGTAAATAGTAAAATATCTCTCAATTCAATCCTATTAATGGAGAAAAGGAAGAAAAAAAAAAAAAAAAACAATAATCAGTGAAAACCACAACGATGGCTTTAGCTGTCATTAACAATGACTCGAGTAAAAAAAATTATTTATTTTCTTATGTTTCATAGCTTGCTTTTCAAATCTCAAGGCAGAGCCAAATTCTGGTTATAATCATAAACGAGTTAAATCACAAAAACATTCGAGCTTGTGCATCCACCTGTGATACCTAACCGCAAATTAATTCATTTACGAACTGAAATCAGAAAGCAAATTTACATAATTATTCTGTCTAAGCTAGCATCCACAGCCACATGTCAATAATATCTATAATTACAACACAAGCAAACGTTGTTTCTTGTCCACCGTTAGATTTACGAAGCCAAAATGACAAACAAAGAAAAGTACAAAAAAAAAAAAAAAACACTAGGATTGAGAAACCTACAATCGGAAATGAACGTAATTCAAAAAATATCGCAAATCGCAACCTCAAAACGTCACCGTCACGGCAGATTCTGATTGACGTGAATCGGCGGTTATAACGGTCATCTATCAGTTACATTATTCAACAATTATTACCATTAGGAGAGAATCTGAATTAAAAGTTCACCTTCTTGTTGATTTGATGCTGGCTGATTAGCGTGGTGCCTGGACTCCAAAGCTTTGTGGCAAAGTTTGGGTTTGACGTTTGAGTCTGAGAGAAGAGAAAGGTAATGGACATTTTGTTTTATTAGTATATTATTGTTATAATCATGTTTGTTAGACTTGGACAGGCTTGGCGGCGGTTTGGTCTTTGTTGATGCGTGCACTTGTTGTGTTGAAAACTACTTGTCTTTGCTTCACATGTCTGATGGCTTTGAACCATATGGATATGGCGCAAAAGGCGCGTTATGCATCGTTCACGAAATCTTTCGCTTAGACCAATTTTTAACTATTTCTCATGTTATCTTGTACACATAAAAAGAATTGAATGGGACTTTTTTTTTCCCTTCTCTGTTCTCTTTAGTGGTTTTACCTTTTTTTTATGCAGACTGAGCAACATTCCCTTTCCAACTTATGGTTTACTTTATTTATTTATTTTTTAATTCTAAGGGAAAAGTCAGTTTCTTGTATTTTTAAAAGAAAACTAAATCCGACTCAACTGCGTGACACCAGCATATCTTTAGTTTAAGGTGGAGCAGGTGCTCCAGTATTAAAAAAAAAATAAGACTTAGATATTATTATCCATAAAACGATGGAATAAATAAAGTAAGGTGTATTATTTTTTTCTTCTAATTTTAAAAATGATATACTTAATGTTTAGGAGAGCACCGAGAATATTTTCATATGACACCACCGGGTTTTCTCTTCTAATTAAGATCAGATTTCTTTATATGAAATATTTATATATTTTTTTGGTTTCTCAATGTATCATCCAATCGACAGCTGAAGATAGTACTTTCAAGGTGGGAGATCACATTAAATGAATAAACCTCTCCCAACAAAGCATTTTCCATATACACGACCAGGGATCGAACTTTTGTCAGCATGCTTAAGAAACCCAACTATCTACCAACTCTATATTAGAATATAAAATATTCATATTCTATGTTTTTATATTTAGATAAATTTAACAAATGTTCTTGATATCCTTTTAACAAAATTAAAATAAAATTATTAATAATTACTAATTTTTTGACTATTAAAAATTTAAAAATATCATTAATTTATATTTTCTTAAATGATGAGAGGTATTTGATACAAAATATTGATAAAGCTCTTGATCAGAACCATTTACATCTGGGCTCGCCATGTTTTTTTTCTCTACACAAATAGTCCTCAAATGATTTGGTGTAGCTTTGAGTTGGAGCAGCTTTAACCCCTGGGTCTTTAATGAACAAGGTGGGGGGTGTACTTGCAAGACGCTCCGACGCTCAAGTCAGATTTGGTTCAAGCAGGTTTATTCATATAGAAGAAAATGTGTACCTTTGGGTTAACACATGTATTTATAGTAGAGAGATGACTAGCCTAGTGGAGAGATGACGATCTTTGCGGAGAGATGCTCTCAAAGTTGGTTGCAAGTTGTGAGGCAACAAGTCTCTCCAATTGGTTACTGTGGGTGGCTGTTATAAGGTTATGCAAAGATACTTGACGGTGAAGTTTGTTGAAAGTAGCTTGCTAAGATGTAGCATTTAAGAAGCAGCCTTTGTTGACTTGGGGTCTTTCTTAGTAATGAAGGCTTTGAATGTGAGCCTCATTTTAATATGGGCCTAGTATTTATATTATTAATCCATATCAGAAGTCCCCCAGCTCGTTGCTTATACCGAAGGTATGAGTAGCGAGATATATAAGTTCGTGTGATGATTTGCCTGATTATCAAACCGGAAGATTCATTTCACTATACTTTTATTTTGCACTATGGTATGTACTTTGCTGGTGCTTTAGAGTTTTCTCAACAATATTTGTATCCCGCACCTTACATATACATTTCATAATTCATATATTTGTGTACCTTGATATTTTGCATGCTTTTGGTTTTGATGCCGCTTGTGTGAGTTTTTATGTTGCTTTTGGGCAAGATGTCTTGAAGTCTTTTGGGATCTTTTCATTCGGGATTTGATGTCGCTTTTGCTTTCAGAGTGTGATGTCACTTCATTTGAACTTAGGGTTTTAACCGTCATAAGGTTTTTCCCTGAAGCTTTCAACTTGAGTTTTTAGCCTTTTAGGCGTTACCCTCAAGTATTGGTATGAAGGTTCAAGTGCCTGCATACCAAATTTCCTTCAACTAGAGTTTTTAGTCTTTTAGGTGTTACCCTCAAGCACTGGTATGAGGGTTCAGGTACCTGCATACCATATTTTCTTCAACTTGGTTTTTATCCTTTTAGGCGTTACCCTCAAGTACTGGTATGAGGGTTCAGGTGCCTGCATACCAGATTTCCTTCAACTTTTTTTAGTCTTTTATGTGTTACCCTCAAGTTTCTTTAAACAAAAGTTTAAGAGCTTTAGACAATGTTGGCAGGTTCAAACAAGGTTCATGTATCCCTCTTGTGCATTAGAACCTACAATCTATATGGATCTTAAAGAATAAAATCATATCAATTAAGAACGATAACTTCAATAAGATTAGTTCAATATAATATAATAACTTTGCAGACATCAACTGTAAACTTTTTTGAGTTTTTCTGCGTTCCAGGCGAGATTCATGTCTTCGCCTTTCATTATTCCTGGATCTTGGCAACCTTTCGTGAATTTAGAAGCAAAGACATTTAGGATAAGTTCAAAATAATTCAAGATAAGTCATACATAACTTTGCCGATATAAAGCTTTCAAAACTTATCTGCATTCCTAGTTAGATTTATATCTTCACTGTTCATCATTCATAGATCCCTGCAAGCGAGATTCATATCTTTGCCTTTCGTTATTCATGGATCCTGTAGGCGAGATTCACATCTTCGCCTTTCATCATTTATGGGTCCTTGCAACTTTCATGAATTTCACAGTGGAGACACAAGATTGTCAAAATAAATCATATATATATATATATATGTGCCTTTGAGATATTCAATTTCAAAATCAAAAACACTTAAGATTGCTTGCCATCTAGCAAAAATTTGTTTAGATGCTAGATTCTTTACGTCCTTTTGTAAAATGTCTTTTGCAGATTTGCGGAACCCACTGGTATCAGAGCCTGATGGGGAAGTAGGAATATATGGATAGATCTAAATTATCTGTTATTTATCCGAGCTTTATGTTAACATTTTAACATGTGTTAGAAGCATGTATGATTGTAGGATGAGAAATGAAAGTCTTGAGAACTTGTTCAGCTGTTGCAGTAAGTCCCATATGAAGGGCAGTAAGTCAAATTTGCCGATGTTGAACAAGGGATCAAGAAGATCTCTGACAATCTGTTGTTTATTTACGTTAAAGTCTTAATCTAATGCTAAGTTGATAAGAGTTAATTTACATCTATCTCTGTATTACTATGGATCCAAATGATGGTGATGATATCTGGGAAATACATCTGTTTTATTATCATGTTTAAATCTTTCTCTTCTAAGCTCTCTTTCAAATCATCTCAGCCATCTTCTTCTTCCATCCATAAAGATCAAGTTAAAAATCAAACAAAAAATATTTTTAAAGAAGAAATCTCCTTTGAAGATATCAATCAAGATCTGGATAACTGGAAAATTCCCAGAATTCCAACTAATGAACTGTACAAACCCGAAGGAAACTTCTTTCGGAAATCTGACTATATCATCAGAACAGTTGAAAGAAATATCCCTTTAAATAATGAATTTGAAGAATTTCAACTCCTGTCAAAATCATCTATACAAACTCATAAACAGAGTTATAACTATTTGCACATTGGATGTGTCCAAGTGGCTATTAAACCTCTTGGAATTGAAGGTCTAAATGCTTCTGTTCTTATATGCCTTTGTGATACAAGGCATAACAAATTTACAGATTCTATACTTGGAACTGTTGAAACAAGCCTAAGCAATGGACCAATTTTTTTCAATTGTTATCCTGATCGTATGGTTAGTCTTCAAGATAAAAATATCTTGGATGTCTTAACATTAAACGTTGAGACAAGTGGTCTGGACATGAAAACTGGATCTATTCCAGCAGCTTTGCTTTTTAGGATTCAATATAAAGTATTGAATTCTTCCATCTCTAGGGTTCTTAAACCCAAGAAAACTGGGGAAACTACTTTGTTCCTTACTGACATGTCTAGAGCAAATGTCACTGTACCCAAAACTATCCGCTGGTCTGACGTAGTCCTACCAGAAAAATGGAGACTTGAGAAGGCAACACCTGCTCAACCTAGAGATACTCCAAATTTCAGAGAAATCAAGCAGTTCCCAAGTGGTGCTGTTGAAATCATCTTCGATAGAAGAAACTCTTTCAGTTCTGCAAGTTCTTCCAGGTCTGTTCAAACTCAAGATTTTCGTTCTGAAGATTTTCAATCAGCTCTTTCAAGGAGATCTTTCTCTACAATCTCTGAACCTAGTAGGTTCAATCTCCATCTCCAAGGTTTGGACACCTCTTCTTCTATTCCTAAACCTTCATATACCCAAAAAGAAGAAGAAAATGAACAAAATATTATCCAATCTCCAAAATCTATTCAATCTCCAACCTATTCCTCTATGCATAATTCTTATGATGTTATATAAGTTCATTATAGATAAGGAAACCCTTAGGAAAGACTTTAATTCTGAGGAGCGGTCTCCTCAAAAAGAATGGTTCTTCCAAAATTATAAGGGAATTAAAAGACAACTAATTCAAGAAGAATTTTATAACTTTCTTAACAAGGTAAAGTTAAATATTCCTTTCTTTGATTGGTTTCAAGCTTATTCTGTCCAACAGGACATTGATTATCCATTCAAGACTCCTCAATCTGCTAATGTCATCACTGTTTGGCACCTGAAAGAAGGAGAAGTTATTAAGTCTGAATTTCCTCCCACAACTTCTTTCTATCTCCCAAAAGTTTGTGATAACAAAAGCAGGTCTGTTCTTGCTTCACCTTTTAAATTAAAAGATGAAAATGAACAAATCTCTCCAATGGATTTTAAAAATCTTATTGAACAATCTAATTACACCAACAAATATCTTCAAGTTTTGGGTGAAAAACTTAACAAAACTGTTAATTCTGAATCTTCATCCTCAGCATCTTCTTCTAAAATCTTGGAAAAACCT